TGTATCCTTAGGCCATATGACATAAATGATAGGATAACGTAAAGAAGAATGGGCTTACAGAAATATATGCAGCATACACTATTCCTTCAGAAGAAAAGAGTAACTCCCTTCATATCAGTGTTGACTCTGCTGTCTGTATTTCTTGTCCCCAAAATGTCCATGATTCTGTTCCCTGGAACCATGTTGGTGAGCCAGAAATACAATCTGAAGTAAAGACCTTGCTGATTTTAGTTAACTGCAAACTACTGAAAATATCAACATATTATTAGGCTGCAATACACTGTATGTAGTATACAAACCACAGAAAACTATATATCCTCCCCATACTCTGCGTTGATCAAACCCACCAAGATTACATGATGTCTGGGCCACGCTGTTCCAGCAATACTGCCAGTGTGGCCTGCGTCCAGAACAGAGACAAGCAGGAGGAGGAGACGCCCTGGGAAGCCATCTTGTAGGAAGAACAGTTAAAGGGATTAGGAAGAACTTTCTTGAGAAAGATTGTAGGGGAAATATGAAGATGTGTCCTTAACTTCTGAACATCTATGCTGAGAAGGTGCTATGTGAAGCACAAAGAATATAAAGCTTGTTGTATGGTACTTGTCCCTAAAAACATAGAGAGAAGTTAGGTGGATATATATATATATATATATATATATAAATACACAGAATAGCTATGATCAAAATTGAATAATAAATGCAAATAGAGGTATAAATCAAGGACTTTTGGAATTCAGAGGAAGGACCAATTACATCCACCAAAAGAAATCAGAAAAGAGTTCACTGAAGGAATGGAGTTTGGACTGGACACTGAAGGATGGGAAGAATTTGGATATTCAGATATTCCTGAGAAAAATATTCCAGATGGAAAAGCAAATGGGGAGTTAAGAAAACAATGTTATATTAAAGATATAATTAAGTAGGAAGTCAAATAAGACATTAATGTAGATATTAATTTAAAAGTTCAAACCAATAAATTTTCAGTAACTTTCCAAAAAATAGATTTTTGAGGGCTATCTTAGTTATATTATTTAAAATTGTATGCTACAACATATCCTCATATAAAAGTAAGCCTAAAATAAAGAAGTAATGAAATGATTAATTTTTCTACATTTTAAACTCCTAAACAAAACCAAGAAAAATCCATTTGACATTATCTAGGATCTGCCCACTAATGTAATGCTAATCATTCCATGACAGGATAATAAAAAGTAAAAGCTTTTAAACTCAGGAAGGTATGATTTGAGTGTATTGTTCTCAGTGTCTGAAAGACAGTCATTGAGAAACAGAAATATATTTTTTCTGTATTTTTCCAGAAGGCAGAGCTAGGGTCATTGAGTGGTAAAGAAGGTTTAAACTCATCTTGAGAGTTTTCCACAATATTAAGGTATCTATCCATAGAGGTAGCTTTTCCTTCCTTGAAAGTACTCCCAGAAACCTGCTAACCCTGCTGTAGGTGAATATCTCAACCTGGTTAGAAGTGAGACTAGCTATGCTCTTATTATCTCTGCAAACATAACGTTGTATGTGAGTGTGTGTCTAACCTATAGAGTGAAGCAGGCAGATTCATTTTCCTAAGTCATGAATGGTACATCCTTTTCAGAAGTCAAGGTACTAGCATAGTATTTTATGCAGGATTGAATCCAAAATTTTACCTCATTAAGAATGCAATCTGATTTAAACTATATTACACAACTATTGTGAGTTCTCCTGGAAAAAAAAGTGTGGTTTTCCTAAAATTAGAAATAAATTCTGTTCAAATATTTGAGGAGGTTATTAAGTTAAACATGGCTATGCCACTTTTATTAGTGTCATCAGATTTTTAAATAAGACTACAATGTGCTTGATTGCAAGAGGGGCTTTTGATCCAGTGCCTGACAAGCATTTGATTAACTATTTTATGTAAATATTTGCCAAATTGTAATGCCATATCATATTCAGCATTCATATGTTGTGCAGTTACATATTACACTGAGTGGAGGGTAAGTCCATAAGTACTATAAACATCCAAGACTGATTAAGCTATTTGCCTTGATGTTGGGAACCTAAGTCAAATAGTTGAATTTTCTTGATCAACTAAAGTCATGTGTAGATGCAGAAATATGTGCTTGTGAATCCAACATCCTTCTTTTTGTTGTTCCCAGCTGCAGTATTGAAGTATGAGAACAATGTTATGAATATCAGGCAATTCAACTGTTCTCCTCATCCATACTGGCTTCCAAACTTCATGGATGTTTTCACTTGGTCCCTGCCATTTGTTGGGGAAAAAGGTAGGTTGTAGAATCCTGAGATGTTCATAGCAAAAAGATATAGAAAAGAAGGAGAGAAGTGGGTTATCTGACAGTCAGAAAGAGGAACATAAACCTAACCAATAAAATGTAAAAGCTACACCATAAGAGAAGTGATTGGGAAGTGTGTCACTGTACGAGTAAATCAAAGGGGAAACACACGAGGAGTATTAGGAGTAATACAAATAAACAAAATACAAGTAAATCAAGGGGAAACACATGAGGAGTATTAGGAGTATTGATATAAACTCATTAGAATAATAAAACTCTTTGAAAGTAACAGAGATTCAGTTTTCACTGGCTTCAAGCTATAATGGCTACCTTTTGCCCTTACTTTTCTGTATTACAATTGAAAAGTGCTGTTTTATTTTACAAACTACCTGTCAAATTAAAAAGTTAAGATAGCCCTGCTTCTCTCACCTTTCTGATATGAATAGTAATCATTATAGGATATTGATGAATAGCTATAATATTTCGGGAGACTACCTGTACAACAACAAAAATAGTTTACTACAAATATAGTGGCCATGTGGGTGTTACAAGAAGAGACAGATTCATATTTTAAAAACTGTCTGTTAACTCGCCCCACTTTCTCAGAAGAATTGGCCTTTTCTTTCTTTCCTTCCTTCCTTCCTTATCCCTTTGTTTTGTTTTCATATTCTGAGCTACACCTCAGCAAACATGTTGAAGGAAGGCCTGCACCCACTAAGCCTGAGCTTTGACTTCAGGGGACTAGTGGTAATAGACTGGATGGTTCCTCAGACAGCATCTCACACAGCGCCCAAGCAAGTGAACGGGTGTGGGGATAAAAATAAGAATGTGCATGTGTTTCAGAACCCCCATGGGAGGCTTTCGAGAAAAGCCACACATTTTTCTGAAATATTTTTTATTTATATTAATAAATATATAATACATTAATATTGATATATGGATTATTTATTTTCCCATGATAGTTATTTTATTTTTCTTTAAATGCCCTAAAATGATTAAACCAGGAAGTTACGAACTGTCAGTGAAGAAGTCTTCCTTTTGGATACCAAAATTAATCAAAAGTGAATTTTGATAAACTCTGCTAAGTGTTCCAGTGATACTTCATGTCACCACTTGCTTGCCCTGCTCAGGTGACATCTGTCATCTGTCGGCTTCTTTAGAAACAGAAACTGTGTGAATCCAAACAGCTGCTTGTACACCCTTCAGTTAGGTTGTTTCCATTAATTAAATATATATAAATACACAGAATAGCTATGATCAAAATTGAATAATAAATGCAAATAGAGGTATAAATCAAGGACTTTTGGAATTCAGAGGAAGGACCAATTACATCCACCAAAAGAAATCAGAAAAGAGTTCACTGAAGGAATGGAGTTTGGACTGGACACTGAAGGATGGGAAGAATTTGGATATTCAGATATTCCTGAGAAAAATATTCCAGATGGAAAAGCAAATGGGGAGTTAAGAAAACAATGTTATATTAAAGATATAATTAAGTAGGAAGTCAAATAAGATATTAATGTAGATATTAATTTAAAAGTTCAAACCAATAAATTTTCAGTAACTTTCCAAAAAATAGATTTTTGAGGGCTATCTTAGTTATATTATATAAAATTGTATGCTACAACATATCCTCATATAAAAGTAAGCCTAAAATAAAGAAGTAATGAAATGATTAATTTTTCTACATTTTAAACTCCTAAACAAAACCAAGAAAAATCCATTTGACATTATCTAGGATCTGCCCACTAATGTAATGCTAATCATTCCATGACAGGATAATAAAAAGTAAAAGCTTTTAAACTCAGGAAGGTATGATTTGAGTGTATTGTTCTCAGTGTCTGAAAGACAGTCATTGAGAAACAGAAATATATTTTTTCTGTATTTTTCCAGAAGGCAGAGCTAGGGTCATTGAGTGGTAAAGAAGGTTTAAACTCATCTTGAGAGTTTTCCACAATATTAAGGTATCTATCCATAGAGGTAGCTTTTCCTTCCTTGAAAGTACTCCCAGAAACCTGCTAACCCTGCTGTAGGTGAATATCTCAACCTGGTTAGAAGTGAGACTAGCTATGCTCTTATTATCTCTGCAAACATAACGTTGTATGTGAGTGTGTGTCTAACCTATAGAGTGAAGCAGGCAGATTCATTTTCCTAAGTCATGAATGGTACATCCTTTTCAGAAGTCAAGGTACTAGCATAGTATTTTATGCAGGATTGAGTCCAAAATTTTACCTCATTAAGAATGCAATCTGATTTAAACTATATTACACAACTATTGTGAGTTCTCCTGGAAAAAAAAGTGTGGTTTTCCTAAAATTAGAAATAAATTCTGTTCAAATATTTGAGGAGATTATTAAGTTAAACATGGCTATGCCACTTTTATTAGTGTCATCAGATTTTTAAATAAGACTACAATGTGCTTGATTGCAAGAGGGGCTTTTGATCCAGTGCCTGACAAGCATTTGATTAACTATTTTATGTAAATATTTGCCAAATTGTAATGCCATATCATATTCAGCATTCATATGTTGTGCAGTTACATATTACACTGAGTGGAGGGTAAGTCCATAAGTACTATAAACATCCAAGACTGATTAAGCTATTTGCCTTGATGTTGGGAACCTAAGTCAAATAGTTGAATTTTCTTGATCAACTAAAGTCATGTGTAGATGCAGAAATATGTGCTTGTGAATCCAACATCCTTCTTTTTGTTGTTCCCAGCTGCAGTATTGAAGTATGAGAACAATGTTATGAATATCAGGCAATTCAACTGTTCTCCTCATCCGTACTGGCTTCCAAACTTCATGGATGTTTTCACTTGGTCCCTGCCATTTGTTGGGGAAAAAGGTAGGTTGTAGAATCCTGAGATGTTCATAGCAAAAAGATATAGAAAAGAAGGAGAGAAGTGGGTTATCTGACAGTCAGAAAGAGGAACATAAACCTAACCAATAAAATGTAAAAGCTACACCATAAGAGAAGTGATTGGGAAGTGTGTCACTGTACGAGTAAATCAAAGGGGAAACACACGAGGAGTATTAGGAGTAATACAAATAAACAAAATACAAGTAAATCAAGGGGAAACACATGAGGAGTATTAGGAGTATTGATATAAACTCATTAGAATAATAAAACTCTTTGAAAGTAACAGAGATTCAGTTTTCACTGGCTTCAAGCTATAATGGCTACCTTTTGCCCTTACTTTTCTGTATTACAATTGAAAAGTGCTGTTTTATTTTACAAACTACCTGTCAAATTAAAAAGTTAAGATAGCCCTGCTTCTCTCACCTTTCTGATATGAATAGTAATCATTATAGGATATTGATGAATAGCTATAATATTTCGGGAGACTACCTGTACAACAACAAAAATAGTTTACTACAAATATAGTGGCCATGTGGGTGTTACAAGAAGAGACAGATTCATAGTTTAAAAACTGTCTGTTAACTCGCCCCACTTTCTCAGAAGAATTGGCCTTTTCTTTCTTTCCTTCCTTCCTTCCTTATCCCTTTGTTTTGTTTTCATATTCTGAGCTACACCTCAGCAAACATGTTGAAGGAAGGCCTGCACCCACTAAGCCTGAGCTTTGACTTCAGGGGACTAGTGGTAATAGACTGGATGGTTCCTCAGACAGCATCTCACACAGCGCCCAAGCAAGTGAACGGGTGTGGGGATAAAAATAAGAATGTGCATGTGTTTCAGAACCCCCATGGGAGGCTTTTGAGAAAAGCCACACATTTTTCTGAAATATTTTTTATTTATATTAATAAATATATAATACATTAATATTGATATATGGATTATTTATTTTCCCATGATAGTTATTTTATTTTTCTTTAAATGCCCTAAAATGATTAAACCAGGAAGTTACGAACTGTCAGTGAAGAAGTCTTCCTTTTGGATACCAAAATTAATCAAAAGTGAATTTTGATCAACTCTGCTAAGTGTTCCAGTGATACTTCATGTCACCACTTGCTTGCCCTGCTCAGGTGACATCTGTCATCTGTCGGCTTCTTTAGAAACAGAAACTGTGTGAATCCAAACAGCTGCTTGTACACCCTTCAGTTAGGTTGTTTCCATTAATTATTCAGATTTTGAATATCTATTATAAAAGAACGTATTAATAAATTGGTATGCATAATTCACTTTTGGTAATTAAACTGAAACTCTGGATTAATGTTAGCTTCTCTGAAGTTTTCATTCTATATCTTCAATTCTAGAAGAACATTGATTTTAAAAAGTAGTCCTTGAAGAAATAGTATACAAGTTCCTTTTCACATTCATGATAGAACTCAACGTAATTTTGAAAAATGCTAAATGTATATAGCATCCACCGTAGTGTAAAAGTGATGCAGGACTAATTTTCTCTGTAGAGCACTTTAATATTATTCTATTGTGGTCTGTGTATTCAGCTAAATTTATTGTTAAGTTTACCTAAACTTTAATTTTAAAGCCTTTTTGAAAATAAAATTTAATGATATTTAATGAATCAGAAGACAGCAAGGGACACATTCATTTTTAAACCAGTGTTCTCAAAACTACTTTGAATATATTAGCTCATCAAGCAACAATTTTTATTAAACACAAAACCACATGCTTATTACTATCTTGGGTTCTCTGGGGGATTAAAAAAATTTAAAAAGAGACTCAGCATTCACTTAGTGCCTGCAAATAGAAGGTCGTAATCTGGTTTAGATCTAGCAGCATCAGTGTAAAAATAAGTAAAAATTCAAAAGTAACCATTTTCTCCTTCATAGGTATTGCAGTTTTCATATCCACATATTTAATTTGTCCATTGTCTAGAGACCTATAGCTATTAAGTGTTACCATTAGATTTCATGGGCATGAGCTAATTATTTTATAAACATAAAATCTGCATAGAATCACAAAGCCCATTATCTTTTATGATCTGGATTTTATAGAAACTGCTTTGCAGGAGATTCTATATACAATACAGGTAAGAAATGTTATTGCTTACCTTGCTCATTAACAATGCCAGAGTGATCATTAAGGTTAAAATAAAATATCTGGCTATTTTTCTTTCTTTCCTTTTTTCCTTTAGTGACTGAGATGCTGGTGAATGTCCTAAATATCTGCTCAGATGATGAACTAGGGTCAGAAGAAGATGGATTTGATGGTAAGAGGCTTGAGCCTTTGTGTTAATGCCATTTGCCAAGCATGTCATAGTTAACTGTAACAATAATTTTCTAAGGTTTGGATTATGTTTAAATCATAACAGACTATTGAGAATAAAAGGTATCATCATATTTTCTATCTTCTTTGAAGAAATACAAGAAACAAAAACTATGAGAAAATTTTCCCATTGCTTTGAATACATTGCGGGAATAGTGAACTCTCATTTTAAGTAGCTTCCATTGCTATGTGACTTTTTGGCTCTTTGATTAAAAACAAGGTAATCCTTCATTTTCTAGCAGATGTTACGGTTTACTGGGTAGCTTTTTAAAGTACCCTTCAGTGAGTTTTTTCCTATCAACTATTCAAATTTTGATGTCTGTGATAAATAAGGTATTCGCAGATTGATATGTTGGTATTTATGCCAATCCCTATATTTTTTTTCATATCTGTAATAATAAGTAATAAATAGGCTACCAGGTTTTTTATCGTTGCTTTTTAAGATACTATTTGGTATTCATTTACCCTCAGTGAGTATGCTTTCTCCATAGGAGACAAAGATCCATGAGGTTAAAGATGGAGAGAAAAAATTACTGTGCGTTTTCACCCCAAAATGAATGGAAACTAACAAAAATAGTAGTTAGAGGAGGAAGGTAGAAGAGCAAACTTTGCTTCCATAAACACTTAATAAGTACCTGCTCTGTCAAGGGCAGTCAGGATTTCAAGATGTATTCAAGAATTATGAGTTGATGAAGTTGCAGTCTGGTTAGAAAGACTGATAGTAAATAGATGATAGCAATAAAATAAGTTAGAAGATAAAGGGCAAAGTTGGTAGGGGAAAATAGATGTTGTGGCAAGTTTAAGTTGAAAGTTTTCCCTTAAAAACTGCACTTGGGTAAACTGAGAAGTGAATGGGGCACTTTCTAATAGTATCTGAACAGCATGGTTTAATGTTTACTTGGGTTAATACAGGTCATATCTATAAATGCAAATACCCAATGCTGCAGGCAAAAGTAAAACAAAAGTACTCATGTAAGAGACACTATAACTTAAGTAAAATTAAAGTATACAATTATTCCCACCATCTCATAGCTTTCCTGCTTTCCACAGCTTCTCTTGTCTTCATTACTTGTCTCATATACTATTCTTTAGTCATGTATCATGTTGCAAGGGGAGGTACAATGTAGAGAAGGAGAAAAAAAATATATATATATATATATATAAACCTTTACTAGGTTAGAATTAGCTAAAGATTAGTTGTAAGAACTTAAGTAAATATATTGATATATTTTAAAATATTCAGGACTTCAGTGGAGATTTTGAGCTTCACCAAGATCCTAGATGCTTCATACAGTACAGCCACAGTTTGCTACTGTTAACCTTTCCAGGGATAGTGCTATCATTTAAGAGGTAATATTTTCATAACGGCAGAGATTTTCCTAATGTAAAAATACCATCCTGGTGGAATCTAAATTTGAAAATCAACAAACATTTTTCAATACAAGCCTTTCACTATGCTCCCTTTTATTCCTCAAAAGGAAGTTTAATGAGCATTAGTAAAGTGGTGCACCTTTGTTAATAATTCTCTGTTTAGTCAAGTTCATTGGCCAATAGTTAAAATACAATGTAATAAGAATGTAATCTCTGTATAGAATAAATAGACAAGTAGACCTGCAGAAATTTGTAATTATACATTAATCCATTTTCTCAGCAAATATATACTGAACACTTACTATTTGCCAGGTACTGTAGCTCAAAATGCTTGCATATTTCAATAGCACAGGTGTTTCCTGCACAATTAAACATTACCAATACAACTCAGAGTTTACTTCACTTTATAGTGAGTTCTCTTTACACACCCTCTCTTTAACCACCCTTTCACTTACAGGAAAGGATATATTTTGTGACTTTACTCTGCTTTAAAATAATTAGTTCTAATCAGTGTTCCCTGTTCATCAGCAATTGCTTTTGAGCCTACTAATTCCAATTATAAGAGTGCATGTCCTTTTCAAGGCTTTTGTAAATACTTTTTCTTTCTAAGCAGATCACTGAAATCTCACTCCACCAGCTGAAATCTTAGGTCAGGCCTGCCCAGAAAGAACTACTACCTTTAAACATGATGTTTTAGTTTAAATCTCACAAATAAGCCCTCTAAGGAAAACAGAGAAAACAGAAATAAAAGTATTAATTAAAAGTATGTCTAACTTAGGATGTTATACATTTTGGAGTAAACAGTCAGAAATCTTGTTTAGTACTTTACTTAGCATGACACAAAAACTGTGGATTTCTTCAAAGGTGTTCCAAGAACAACTTGTAAAACTTTCCAGAGCTCTTTGGCTCTCTGGGACTAGTTTATCAAGAACATATATCGAAGTTTCTTTTTGTCACATTTTGGTCTTATTGTTTTCAACCTTAAGATAAAGTTTCTACTTCTCGCAGCCTGTCCCTCTGGCATGCAGCCTGCAGCATCTGTCCACCTTGGGCTCAACCCTCTGCTCTGCCTACCAGCCTCCTGGGCTTGCTGGCCTCAGAGGTAAAAGCAGGAATCAGAATACAGCAAGGGACTTAATCGAAGCTCTTCCATACACCACTGCTTATTCTATGGAAGGGCCATCTGTTCATGAGTCATTTACCAAACCCTTCCCAATACTTTGCTCCATATCCAAGGTCAACTGGAAAGTCAGAGGTGTAGTAATGGTGCCATAAAAATCCATGACTTCTGTATTTTGGTCTAATTAGGTTGACTTCTTAGTGTCCAAAAAGTCCATAGTAAACAGGAATTCTTCTCATTTCCTTAAGAAATGAGAGTTTATGGGATTAACTTTGCTTTTCCTTAGACTCTGTCAGCTCCGTTTTACCATTTAGTGATAATGATGACAGCAGCTAACACTTACGCTCAGGCCTCATTTTAATTCGTTTATATGTTTTCAGTCTTGACCTTTATGACCAACAAAAGTATATAATTATTAACTGTCACTCAAAGTAAATCTATACATAAATATGTGTGTTATATACACATATATACATACATGTTTACTAAGTGACTTGTATTATCTCTAATCCTCAAAACAACCTGTTGATATAGGTACTTTGATTGCCCCCATTTTACAGAAGAAGCAATTGAGACTCAGCGAGGTGAAGTTAAAGCCTAAGGTCATTCAGCTAATGAAGTAATAGAGCCTGGCTTCAAACTAATATCTGCCTGGTTGTCAGACTCTTGAACTCTCCACAACCTGTGATTACAATAATTGAAATATTTTTCTTTGAAACAACATGATGCCTTTTTTAAAGAACAAAACAATACTAATAGCTAAATATAATATACTTTAGTTTGTTCTTTCAAATATACTCTAAAATAAAGAGATTTTACTGCACTACTGGCCATAAGAGTCAAATAAATTGCAAATAAAACAGTTTCATTCTGTTCCTTTAATCTTAGTTTATGCCAAGAAGTTTTAAGTGTTTCATTGTGTTAAAAATTTTGGTGTATCTGAGCAGACAGAAAGCCCTCTAGCTCATCTAGGCTTCTGCTGGGTGGAAATCACATCACAAACCTCTTCCCCTTAGCTTCTGCCTTACAAATAAAGGAATTTGATAGCCTATTGAGAAAAAGTTGCTGTTTTAAATTGGTCTGTGGTTCTTTTATGTTGAAAACAAAGTACGAAACTTCTACTATCTTGTTAAGTTTTGAAACAGCATAATGCCAGTGAATGTCTTTTGAGGATCTAATTTTATGTATTGGGGTCTTTGTTTCCTGTTTTCCACTTCAGATTTTGGATGATAAAATGATAGTCTGGTTTCAATTTGCAGTTGTTACTCACCAAAACATTTTAGAGAGGAAGAAATCCAAATAGATGTATCTCATTTGGTAGTTAATTTTCATTAATGAAGAAGACTCATTTCAGACCAAGGACTACTAAGTGATCCCAAAATGGGTGGGGGATGGTGGGCTCGAAGCTGACGGAAATCAAGCAGTCTACATCACAAAGGTTTCTTTATTCATTATCATAATAAAGAAATCTGGAAGAGCAGTAAGCTTTAGAAACCCAGTGATAGATAGTTCCATGAGTTAGAAATATCTATTTGGAACATTCTTTTTTGTCCTAAAATCTTAGACTCTGAGATCATATTTAGATATATACACAAATTACGTTTGAGACTGTGATATATGATAAGTCTGGCTAACAAGAAAGAATTGTGGTGGTGAAAGTGAAATCCTGTAGAATAAGAAAGGCAAGAAAAAAATAAATACATTTCAAGCCAAATAAAGTTTCAGGCTGTACTGGAAAGACTTAATATTAAATTAGAATTTATGTCTCTGCTTTCATCTAAAGAGCAAACCACATGGTGGAACTCTTATCCTTTGTCCACATTTTTGCCTTATTCTAATGTTAAGCACAGGGCAAGTCACCGAATATGGGATCAGAGCAGTCTTTTGCATGGCTCTACAAAACCATCTACATAGTATTCCAGAACATTCTCTCTCATCATCTGCTTTGAATTATTAGATAATCTGTGGTATCTAATATCACAGGTTCCACAGTGTCTCCTCACTTCTTTCTAACTTTAAAAAATCATGCCCAACTTTTTAAAATACCAAGTTGGGAATCAGTGGGACTGATGTGCCATCTTATTGGTCTTTGAGGAATACCTCTGTAAAGGTTTGGTTAAATTATTTTCTATAGAAACTGTGTTTACTTGCCATGATGAATTCATTTAAGATGAGTCTCATCTCAAAAACTCCCCTCTGCTTTGTGCACCTGGCAGCACGGAAACCAAGAGCCATTAACTGAGAGCTCTTTTTGTATCTGTAGTTAAGATGACCAGATCTTAACAATGAAAATTAAAAATGAAGTTAAAACCAGGGAGCTGTTCCAAAAAGCACTTAAAACTATGTATGTCCAAGGACTTAAAAGTATAGTATCAGTGCAGCAAGGGAAACCAAAGTTCATTTGGATGGTTCAAACTAAGGTGCCGAGGAAGATGAGATCATTTAAGGAAAAC